AATGCACAGACAGATCTTCACACAGCTGCAATGAACGAATTGTATCCTGCAAAAGCCCCCTCCCCTTTTGCTCCTCTTTTAATCCCTATGGGAGGGGCCATTCACCATCCATCTGTGGCCTTACTCCCACCTGGACCCTGAGTTCGTAATTGTTCTTTTCTTTTGGCAGCTCTGCACATGCGCAAGCTGGGAACTGGCTTCAGTTGCTCCCCTGGCTCACTGCTGTCTGAGCCTGAAGGCAGCTGATGACTGCCAGCCTGCCCTGGCCCCATCTCTGCCTCCAATGCAGAGCCCTCGTCCAAGCCTTCCTCGGCATCCAGGACTGACCCAGGTTCCTCCCCAACCTCCTCACTGTCCAAGTCTGCTGCCAGCTCCACTAGCCACCGCGGGGCCACAACAATAGCTACCGTACTTGTTTCAGTGATTTCATTGCAATTCATTTAAACTGGATATTCATCAATTTTGAAATTGATGTTTGCTTTTAAGGTTGCTGCTACACTATTTTTAATGTGTTTAGAATAAGCACACTTAGCAAAATAACAATCCTGAACCCTTCTTGAAGTAGAGGCTGATGGGACCCAGAAAATCTTCATCCCATCTGTGGACCAAATGAACTAGGAGAAAACTTTTCTCTTCTGTGAACAAACTCCAGAATTAATTTCAAGGGTCAAATTCTATGGCAGAGAAGGCCTGGATACGAATTTAATTTGGAGTCACTTACTGGTTCTACATCCAGAAAGATGTTGTGTTCTTCCTCAACTGGCTTCAATCCCTCAACATCGTGAAAAAGTTCTTCACTCGCATGCAGGAAATGGGGCAACGTGATATAGACTGGTTTACCTATAGAAATAAAAGGGAAAATGAAGACAGTTGACAAGTTGGATCATGAAGTTCCATTCTAGTAACAAAGATCATGGAGATGATCTCTGGAACAGCAGCAAACCATTGTTGAACTTATTCACCAAGTACAAACGTAGTAAGCTTGGCACATTGGACACCATCCAAATCAAAACTTTAAACTGCATTACTCACATGCAGGGAATGGTTGCAATGGACTTTCCTACATAACCATAGCTATGTCAGAATAACTGAAAGGGAAGGGGAAAGGAATCAAAGTTGTGTGCTGGCCGTGGGTTAACGAGGGCCAGGTGACACAAATAGGAGTGGTAACCATCTGGATTTTTGGACCACCATGGAGCAAAAAATAACCTAGCCTGTCAGAGATAAAACAGTTCCTAATGGATACATTTTTCTCCAATGTATCAGCTCTGATGGTCCATATGTGGCCATGTTGGGTGTGGATATAAACAGAAGATTTCAGAAGACAGCTGACTGAGCATACAATCCAAAAAGCCCAAAGTTTTGATTTTGATGCAGCCAACAGTCATGAACAGTATAGCCAAGATAGGACCTGGTGTTCCAGTCTGTCAAGATCCATCTGGATCTTGAGCCTATCTTCTAGGGTGTTAGCTATTTTTGACAGCTTAGTGTCATGCCCCTGTTGGAGTCTGACTCCGAGGGAGAGATGGAACAGCTGACAGGGAGTGGGAGCGTGGCTCAGGTGGTTGTGGAGGAAACTGGGGAAGGGTACAGGCCAGATGGGCATTCAGAGGAAGACCCAGGTCCATCCCCTCTTTCTTCTAGGACATGCAGGGAGGAATGGATAAGGGAGAAACATGAGTGGCATGGTCTATGGGAGAGGAAGGGGTCCTGATCCCCTTTATGGGCTGCAGCTGGGAGGACTGGATAAAAGGACAAACTCCCAATGGCAAAGGTGCTAGAAGCAAAGTGTGCATTCTTGTTGGAGCTTATCTGTGTTTTGGCTTCCTCCCAACTGTGGCTGCTGCATTATCTGGTAGACTGCTGTAGTAATTCCTTCAGGGTGATGTATTGAGTTTTTTATTTCAAATTAACTTTACTTTGGGTGCGGACTGCATTTACTCCCTCCGTAAACTGTTTTCTTTAAGAGTTTGATATCCTGCCGAGGATAATTAGACATTGGGGCCATGTTGGAGGCATTAAAGGGACTTTTTTCTATTTTCGTGACTTGGTTATTTTTGTGTCATGCCTTGGGTCATCACACTTAGTATCATCTGCAAATTTGGTAAGTTCCCCTTCTATTTACTAATCTAAGTCATTTATGAAGATATTGAAGAGTACTGGGCCTAAGACAGAACCTTGTGGCACCTCACTGCTTACTTCCCTCCATGTAGGCGTAGACTACTCGTTGAGTAGGGTTTGTCAGCCAGTTATGAATCCATCTAGTGGTGGTGCTAACTATTCCACTTTTTTCTAGCTTACCAAGAAGTAGGTTGTGGTGGTCTACTTTGTGGAATGCCTTGCTGAAGTCAAAGTATAAGATTCCAGCTTCTGATACAATTTCAGTTTGAATTAACCCTATCCAAGCCCTCCTCTTTCTCCCCTGTTACCTTCTTTGCAGGTGCTGAGATCCAGAATTCCACTTAATGTGCAGTTCCGACTCAATTCCATGTCAGTGCAGAAGCAAATATTGTCAGGATTGGTAGTGGGTGATGAAAAAATGGTCAGAGGGACAGCAAAGCGATAAACTAGAATTTCTTTCACTGTCTTCTCGCTCTCAAATGTTACAAACATTGACCTGTATTGTAAAAATAATATGAATCATGATCATACGCCATGATGAAAAAAGAACCACCAATCTTGTCTATGAAAATTCTCAGCCATGATTGTCCCAAAGATGTTTTGTTCAAAAAGTCAACTGGACTTTGTTTCTCCTTGAAATGTTTTGCTTCTCATCCTAGAAGCTTCTTCAGTTCTGTACAACTCTAGAACTGAAAAGTCTTTTTGGATGAAAAGTGAAAGATCTTCAAAGAAAAACAAAGTCCAGTTCCCTTTGGAAAAAGCTCCTTCGGGACTTCCACGAATCTTATAGTCATCAATCACATTCCTTCAAGAATTTGTTGATCATCTACACATCTTGGATCTCATTCCTTGATCAAAATGAGGGCTCTTCAATCAGATTACTCTCCACCATGACCCTTGGGCGAGGCAGGAGTGATTGGCACCTCACCAAGGCAGAAAAAAAAATGGCATCCTTGTTTTGTCCCAAAGGGGCTTTTTCAAGAAGCAAATGGATTTTCTGTTTTTTCTTTGAATAGCTGAAGAAGCTTCTTGGATGAGAAGTGAAACGTCTTCAAAGCAAAATCTTGAAAATAAGCTTTGGGACAACCATAACCTGAATGACTGAGAGTCTCCACAGACATCATTATTTTGGGAGGCAGAAGTTCTAAAAAGCCATATTAAAAACAAAGCAATTAAATATGTCTTCTTAGATGACCTTGAAGTCTAGAGATTTCCAAAGAACCACAATCGGTTTCCAAAATAAGAGAGATAGCAATGAAGTGGTAAATGCCCCTGACTGTTAACTGTTTGAAGCAGTGGTGGGATTCAAAAGTTTTTATTACCGGTTCTGTGGGTGTGGCTTGGTTGGTGTGGGAGGGGAAGGATACTGCAAAATGTCCATTCCCTTCCCACTCCTGGGGGAAGGATACTGCACAATCCCTATTCCCTCCCCATCCCGCTAACCTGCTTCCCAGCTCCGTTCTCCTGTGCAGGGCAACCAAAGAAGACCCAGCTGATCAGCTGGGACTCAATGGGAGGCAGACAATAGGTGGGGTTGGTGGGGCCAGTCAGAGGTGGGATTGGCCAGTTCTCCAAACTACTCAAATTTTCCTGTTCTCCAGAACTGGTCAGAACCTGCTGAAGACCACCTCTGGTTTGAAGGTAAACTGGATTTTGAGTTATAATTTTAATAGGTAAGCTGCCACTCCCTGTAGTTAAACTAGGCAGTCCAGCTCAACTAACTCAGAAATCCTGTGTCAAGATTGAACCATTTTGGTTCTTTCAAAATTTAATGCATCTCAACTTGCCAGTGAAGAGGTGGGGAGGGAAGGGGAAAATGGAATGCCGAGAATATATGTGGAGATCATGACAGCCTGCAAAGTAAACCATCAAGGTCACCACTGCAGGTGCTGGAGAAAGAGACGGAGTGTTCCCATCACAAACTGATGTCTCATAATTGGACAATGGGATCACCCAGGGATGAGGAGTTGGGGAAGCTATTGCTTAACTGGGCAAGCAATTGTCTGGGAAAACCAGAGCTGGTTTTGTTTCTTCAGTACCAATAAGGTGTATCCAATAAAGTTTTACTTTTGGGGAGTCAAAGCTCCCGATAAGTTTTCCTTGATTTGGGTTCACTTACAGTAGTTGCACGGTTGACATTCTGAAGTTGAATGTTGCTGACCTTTCAAAATTCTGTTACAGGTGATCCTTGATTTACAACCAGGGGTACTATTCAGCCGGTACAGACAAGTTCGGAAGAACCAGTAGTTCTGCAAATCAGTTGGCCCTGCCCATTTGCCCCTGCGCTAGCCTGCCTTATATTTCCTTTGTTTGAAGCCCAGCTGATCAGCATGGCAGTGCAGATTGCCACATCTCAGTTGTTCTTAAACACTTGCAGTGCAGTAGAAGGTAAGTTTTAACCGAACTGGTTGTTACACTGGTTGAAACCCACCACTGTTTACAACCATTCCTTAGCAACCGTTTCAAGTTACAATGACACTAAAAAAAAGTGACTTATGACTGGCCCTCACACTTTATGACCATTGCAGCATTCTCCATAGTCACGCGATCAAAAATTGTGGGCGTGTATTTATGAGGGTTGCAGCATCCTGGAAATTGGGTAATTGCCAGGGGTGGGATTCAAATTTTTTAACAACTGGTTCTGTGGGCGTGGCTTAGTTGGTGGTCCTGGCTTGGTAGTCATGTGACCAGCTGAGTGTGGTCAACTCAACATCACTCACATCGAGGCACCATCTCCTCGCCTGGCCTGTCATGACTGTGGGGATGCTGCAAAAGTCGTAAGTGTGAAAAACGGTCATAGTCATAAGTCATAAGTCACTTTTTTCAGTGCCATTGTAACTTTGAATGGTCACTCCAATTCAAGCAGAAGTACCAGCAAAGGAGGGAAAAAAAACTCCAGAGATGTTCCTGAGACAGGAAGTCCAGTCCTACCAAAAAGGTAATAAGGGTCAACGGAGAGGCAGTTTCTGTAAGCAACACCAGAATGTTTCCTTCCTGCCTTCCTTACAGGATTAGGCCAGTAATTTCTTCTAACAACCGGTTCTACGAACTGCTTAGAATGTTAACAACTGGTTCTAGCGAATAGGTGCAAACCTGTAGAATCCCACCCCTGGTAATTGCTATTTGCACCCTTCCAAGCAGGCTCCAACAAATAAAGTCAATGGGGAAGCCAGATTTTCTCTTTTTGATCACATGACTCACTCAACAAATGCAGTGTTTTGCTTAACAACCATGGCAAAATATAAACGGTTGTAAAATCAGGGCCAATTCATGTAACCACCACCATAGCCTGAGGCAGTGATGGCGAAGCTTTTTGTTGTGGTGTGAAAGCTTGCATGCGTGCGCCCCCCCCCCCCCCTGCGCAGGCATGTGCAACTCCCGCACCCCAGCCCCTTACCTGCCCGGTCATGCATGCCTCCCAACTGATTTACGGCCCATTTGAGGCCATTTTCACCCTCCCAGGAGGCTTGAGGGAAACCTCTGGAACCTCAGGAGGCTGAAAACAGGCCCATTTCAGCACTTCTGGTATTTCCAGAAGGCCTGTTTTTCGGCCTCCCGAGGCTGCAGAGGCTTCCCTCGAGCCTCCGGGAGAGTGAAAACGACCTCAAATGGGCCAAAAATCAGCTGGAAGGTGCACGCATGCACAGTGCAGGTCAGTTTGGCTGGGGCTTGCATGCCCACACAAATAGCTCTGTGTGCCACCCATGGCACGCTTGCCATAGGTTCGCCATCATGGGCCTGAGGGATTCTAGCCCCAGCTATGGCCATAGGGAAAAAACTACATGTATTTTGGAATGAAAGGAATGACGTTCTCCTTTTTCAAGACCACTTACCTGCAAATATCCGAGGAAAAGAAATACAGCTCTTCACTCTTGCTGATAAAAGGGTGGAACGATGCTCCATCTGTGTGAGTTACAATCAAAACATGTCATGAATTGTGAGCCTCACAACACATACAAGAATCCTGCATCTGAATTCTTTGCATCTTTGCAACTGCGGTTGGGTTGGCTTGATTCCCTGTTCATCCTACTCAACTGTTGTTTGGATTATGAGAGGCCAAGGCAGGACATTCAGAATTAAAGAAATGAAGAATATTTTCTCCTTCTTTACCACGTACAGGTCAACACTTTCCTGGACTTTACACACCTAGGACCTGATGGCAAATTTGGACTTATAAAGAACTTCAAGCTAGAAGCCTACTTATCAAGCATTAAGCCATGACAGCCCGGCCAGGATTGTAAAGTTTCTTCTAACATTAACAATGAACATTGATGGAGCAAGATCAAAATAGTGCCTTTTTAAAAAATGTGGGGCGGTAGAAAGCATAATAATTGTCAAAACAATACACTAACACACTCTTTATGTGCATGATTGCATTCCCACTCATGCTAGTAATACTATTACTAAATTTTCAGATGCTGCAACAGTGGTGGGATTCATCTCTGGGGGGGGGATGAGTCTGCCTCCTAAGATGAGGTGGACCAGTTGTTTTCATGGTGTAAAGACAATATCTTGGTCCTCAACACCAATAAGACCAAGTATAATCCAAGTATAATGGATTATAGAAAGAACAGATCAGACCTCCAGCCCTTGCTTATCAATGGAGACCGAGTGGAGCAAGTGGCCAGTTTTAAGTTTCTGGGTGTTACCCTAAAAGAGGACCTGACCTGGGTGCCTACATTGCAGCTCTGGTCAAAAAGGGCCCAGCAGAGATTATACTACCTGAGACTTCTCAGAAAACAACAACTGAATGGAAAACTGCTGGTGACCTTCTACCGCTGCACCATAGAGAGCATTTTAACATACTGCACCTCTGTATGGTTTGCCAATTGCACAGGGGCAGATAGGACAGCGCTCCAGAGGGTTAACATCATTGCCCAGAGGATCATTGGTTGCCTTCTCCCCTCTTTGGAAGAGCTTTATAGCTCCTGCTGCCTTAAGAAAGTTCAAAACATTCTCAAAGATCCATCTCATCCTGGGAACCCTTTTTTGAACTATTACCATCTGGCAGATGGTAGAGGATAATGATAAAAACAAGGACAAATAGGCTGAAAAACAGCTTCTATCCCAGGGCAGGAGCTCTGTTGAATTCTACTGTATAGTGCAGTGTTGGTGTGGTGTCGGGTTTTCAATTCAATGTGTGGAGTGTGAAGGATGTGTGTTTGTGTTTATTTTCATGGTCATGATGTGCACTGAAGATGGTGTTTGATTTCATTGTACGAGGTGCAATGACAATAAAGTAAACTAACTAAAAATGAGCTAAATTAACAGGGAACAAGCTTAACATTCCTCAGACAGATGCTCTGTCTCTAAATTTTGGCATTGTAATCATTGTTCTTGGTCCCCATTTAGAAAACCTTGTTAGGTATACTTAGTGCATCTGCTGGAAGCCACAATGAGACCAAATGAAGACATTTGAATGGTGAAGACATCACACAAATCCCATCGATATGTACTCAGACTCCAACAGCTTACACAAAACAGAGCCTTTGTCCCCTTTCTAAATCTTGAAGTTTCTTAATAATTTAGCCAGCTAAGTATTACTTATGTGAAGACTCGTAGCTAACTTTCTTCTCATCCTATTCTAGCTAACTTTCTTCTCATCCTATTCTTTTCTTTGGGATCTTATCTTACCAAGTAGGCTTCAGTTCCAACCTTGAATATTTTAATACATGCCAAAATGTGTGCTGTGTGTTCAGCCCAGACATCAATGTTCAATATTGTTCCATTGACACACTTACCGGTGCCATTCACCATACCACAATAACTTTCCCAGTAGTCAACGGTCCTTTAAAAAAAAGAAGAGAAATAGAATATACAGCTCAGAGGATGCTACACAGTTTTCTTAGCTAAACATTAGTCTCCTGAATCTAAGGAAAGTGCAGGAATTAAAAGGGCAGGGCACACAACCTGTTCTCAATGTCTTTTATAATCATATTCTGTACAAGAAGGAGTTGGAAAAAAGTAAGCATTTATGTTAGGATAGGAGGGATGTATAAGGAATGTGTAAAGGAATAAACAGCCTCCTGAAAAAGACAATACCAGGATAGTATTTGTATAGCATACATAAATCTGATTAACTAAACTCACATGACTCTCTTAAGCGGATTGGAGGCTAAAATATATACAGAATGGTTGCAGGAATTGGATTTGTCTAGTTTAATGAAAGTGACATGACTAGAAGTGACATGACATCCAATATTTGAGGGGTTCAACCTATTCTCCAAAATACCACAAGGACAGGACAAGAAGGAAACTAATCAAGGAGAGAAGCAACCTGAATTAAGGAGAAATTTCACAAAACAGAACATCTTGCTACACTGAACTGTTGGAAAGTTTGAAAAAAAAGTAAATAAATATGGTTGTATTTCCCCGAATGTGGTATATACCTGTTGTTTTTATAACTCTGTATAATTCCCACTTTGTTTATATCATCTTTCCCGTTGTAAATTTGGTAAGGGCCATCAAATGTTTTGTTCAACTTGAAAGAGAGAAAGGGAGAGAACAGGAAATTATTTAGTTCACCTTGTTCGTCAAGATGAACCTTTTAGTCTTTAAAAATCTGCTGTTCAACATCTAAACGAAGTCTAACGGTCTTAATTTTCTGTTGTTTTCTGTTTTTCTGTATCTAAAATAAAAATCTGTTGACTTTTGACAAGATGATAAGATAGAAATTATTGTTCTAATTTTGCTTTTCTTAAGAGTCATTAATTTTCCCTTTGAGTTTGCACTTACAGGATAGAATACCCCAACGATGTTATCAATGTTTGGTAATGGAATTAATTTCAGGAAAGGATCTTCATAGCCCCAAAGTATTTCTTTCACTGTTCTAGTTTGAAGAAGTTTTGATTTTGATAGTTGTATTAATATATTCAGGGATGGAGCCTCATTCGGATACAAAACAGGTGCAGTCTACGGGAAATGCAAATATGTTAACAAACTTTTGAAACTGGGATGAAAATGGATGACAACATTTCAAAGCAGTCTTGCATTAATTCTTATAAGTGATCAAATCACAGGACATTTTCTAATTTCAATCTACCTATATATCTATATCTCTCTCTATATGTATATATATCTTTATCTATCATCTATCTATCTATCTATCTATCTATCTATCTATCTATCTATCTATCTATCTATCTATCATCTATCTATCTCTATCTATCCCGAATCAATAGATTAGATATAGACATAGACATAGACATAGACATAAAAGCAAAATATCACGCATCATCACAGAACCATAAAGCCTACAAACTTGAAATTTGGCATGTATCTTCCTCTTGGCTTCTAGGTGCTCACTAAGAAAGGATTTTTTGAAATGACCATCAGAGCATTAGTATTTTCAGGTGGGGGAGCGAGAATAGAACTCCTTAGCATTATTAACACACTCTAATGCTAAGGAGTTCTACTCCCACTCCCCACCTGAAAAGAAATCTGTTCCAACTGCAGTTGAGCTAAGCCACACCCAGGCTCCTTGCTGTCTCCTTGCTCACACAGCAAATACTCTTTCCATTTCCAAACAGCCCTCAACTCTCTCTCACACTGACAGGACACTAGCCAGATGAATACTGATAGATGCTGGTAGGCAGAGGCAGATTTCCCCCCCTTATTTTACTCCCCAAAAACTTGCTTGATCACATAGCTTTGTAGCGAAGCACAGGTACCCTGCTAGTGCTTAATATTTGCTAAGTAATTTGATTTATGTCAAATTCAATAGACAAGCATCACAGTTCAGTAATCAGTATTTTTGTGTATCTTCACCATAATACCTGACTGATTACTTGCATAGGACATAGAAGATAAAATTAGTTTTAAAAGCTTCTGGGAATAAAATAATAATTTTTGGTTAAAATGCAGCAAGAGAACACCAATAATAACAAAAGCCAAGTTAGGTATAATACCAGAAAGTTATGATAAAGAGACTCTATACTTAATGCTACATGTATTGACAGCAGGGAGAATTGTATTTGCACAATATTGGAAAAATGAGAACACCCCACCAAATGAAACCATAATTCGGAAAATATTAGACTGGGCAGACATGGATAGATTGACATTGAAAATAAAAGATAAAGGAGGTACAGAGTATTATTATGGGATAGGTTTCATCAGTGGTTAGAGATAAGAGGCAGAAGTTAGATGAAGAAAGATTATCGTTATATGTAAGTAAAATATGAATGTTGCCTACAATTATACTCACGGTAGTACAATTAATGTGATCATAAGCAAGCTAATATAATTATAAATATGGTTGTAATTATTACATGTATTATCATTATTACTATCAATAAGCAAGCTAATATAATTATAAATATGGTTGTAATTATTACATGTATTATCATTATTACTATCAATATATCTCTTATGGTTTTTTTCTCTCTTCTGTAAATGCCCAGACAATGCACTGTCTTGACAATATTTATATATAAACTTGTCAATAACCCAGCATTGCCTGGGTATTTATTTATCCCAATCCTGTATTAGACAGGAAAATCGGGACTCACGCTGTTGTACTGTCTCTCATGCACCTCAATTCTTCTATTCCTCCACAAGAAGAGCCCCCTTGTGGAGTACTGTGAAGCCATTCCCATGGCAAGTCCATGGTGCTGTACAGTAGAAGCCATTTTAAGGCACCCACCCACCCTGAGGGGTGTTAAGGGTGTCTTACCTCCACAGTATTTGTTTCCAGAGGGTAAGTCATCTATGTACCAAGTTTGGTTGAAATTGCTCAAGGCATTCCAGGAGTTATGCTGGAACATACACACACACACACACACACACATCTGCTTTTATAGAAGAAGAAGAAGAAGAAGAAGAAGAAGAAGAAGAAGAAGAAGAAGAAGAAGAAGAAGAAGAAGAAGAAGAAGAAGAAGAAGAAGAAGAAGAAGAAGAAGAAGAAGAAGAAGAAAGAAGGAAGAAGATAGAAGACAGAAAAAGATAAGAAACTTGACTTTTTAAAAAAATAATGAAAGCCTAATATCACTTTGACTGCTAGATAATATTTCCACCATTTTGATGAAAAGTTAAGATGAAGAAATAATACCATAACAATTAGACACATATGGATTTCCAAATTTTGCTGATCTACCTATCCTAGTCCTTTATTACCAACTTAATTACCAACAGGTAGTAAAATTTCTGGATCACCCAATTCATTCATCCCCAACACCAAAAAAAAAAAAAAAAAAACCCACAAAAGAATAAGAGAGAAGATCATGTCAGAATATGGAGAGCACCCACATTTGTACTGATTAATTATTACAATAGGAGAGAGAGCTCGCTTACCACAACAGCCAGGTTGACAGTGGTGATGTTGTCACTTTCCAACCCGCTGGACATATTAGGTTGAAAAATAAAGATATTTTCCAGGAAGTAAGACAGGGTGGCATCATTGTGTCCCGTAATGTTTACTTTGGGCATATATCGCGTCCTTGAGGAAAAAGAAGTTCCCCTTCAGTTGTGAAATGCTGGCCAGTTGTGAAATGCTGATCAGAAATAAGTAGTGCTCTCTTTGCTGGGAGCCAAGTGGATATTTCCCTATCTATTTACTTCCTTCCCTTCCCTTCCCTTTCCTTCCCCTACCCATCTTTTTGTTTCCTTTCCTCTTCCCTTCCCCTTCCCATCTATTTACTTTTTCCCTTCCCTTTCCCCTTTCCTTCCTTCCCTTCCCTATCTATTTACTTCCTTTCTCTTCCTGTAGTGAAGTGAGAAATGTATTAAGTCAGCTTTGCCCCATTTTACAACTGCTGTTGTTCAGTGAGTTACACGGTAGTTAAATGAACCTGTTTTCCCCACTGGGGTGGGGGGTTGGACTTGATGACCTACAAGGTCCCTTCCAACTCTGTTAATCTGAAAGGCAGATTTTGGCTGAGCTTTTAGAAAATCTTCATCAGTAGTTCAAGCAATTCCTGAAAGAAGAGGTTAACTTTTTCCATAAATGTGTTCAAAGAATTATGGATGTTCTACCTTGGTTCCTTGCATGCAAAGAAGAGGAGGTTGAACTCAATCTCCTGTTCCATCTCTGCTCTCTAATCCCATGTCTTCAAAACATCCTCATGCCTATACCTACTTGTAAGTGTAAGGACCTTTCTCCTTAAGGATTGGAGCAGACCCATTCTTCATCACCTCCTCTGGATTCTGTACATCAAAGAACCAAATCTGTCTGTAGGTAGGACTCGCTGGTAAGATCCAATTCCCAAAGGCAGTTGTATCATATTCAATGACAACTTCCTGCAAGGAATAAGAGCAAGATACAGAAAGATGTCTCACTTAGACTTATATACCACTTCACAGTGCTTTACAGACCTGCCTAAGCAGTTTACAAAGTCAACATATTGTCCCAACAATCTGGGCACTCATTTTTACTGACCTCGGAAGGATGGAAGGCTGAGTCAACCATGAGCCGGTCAGGATCAAAGTCAGCCTGCAATACTGCATTCTAACCCTGTTGCTATGAATCATTAATCTTCCAAATCAGTCATAACTGCTAACTTTTTTCTAATAGTTTGATGCAGTTCACCTGGCCCACGGACTTTGCAACTTTAGCATAAAAATAAAAACATGCTGATGATTGAGAAAAGCTATCTCTGCACTTGCTAAAACTCAACCATGACTTGATGGCACAGAATCAATAATTGATCAATGACAAATGCCATTGTTCTGTCTTTTACTTACAACATCATAGCCTGAGATATTATTATCTCTCTCTAATCACTTTTTGCAAAGGTAAATATTCTTTAATCAGAGATAATGCCCTTCCATATGTTGTTTTATGAGAGGTTATGAGAGTTCAGCCTTTATAAGGTAGATAATCAGATGTGATTATCTGCAAGGCTATAATAATCCAAAGGAAATCATGTTAGTTGATGATTTATGAGCTGCTTGATTTGTCCTGGGCTGATTGGCCAAATAGTCAGCAAGAAGTTTTAAAAGGTGATATTCTCATTACCCAAAAGTGAAGGTGACTTTAATAATTATTCAGAAATCAGCAAGCTAAGAATCTTTCCATGTTTTTTTTCATAACAAACAAGAACCAGACATATGGAATAATTGGTTAGAATCCAACTCTACACCAAGCTATAAATCATAAAGCACAATTTATGAAATACTGGCGCAGCTAGTCCTCAACTTATGATCACAATTGAGCCCAAAATTTCTGTTGCTAAGTGAGACATTTGCTCAGTGGATTTTGCCCCATTTTATGATCTAACTTGCCACAAAAGTGAATCACTCTGACCTTGAGGATGTCATAACGGTTGTAAAGTGTGAAAAACAGGTCGTAAGTCAGTTTTTTTCCAGTGCTGTTGTAACTTTGAACAGATATTACCTGAGCTGTTGTAAATTGAGGAATACTGGCATAGCATTTTCTCATGGATGTAGATATTTGATTTATAAATCCCAGTTCCAAAAATGCTAACTCCAATTGGAGTAATGAGAAGATCCAACATTTTTCAGGGGTGTGCAGAAGTAAAGGGTGAGAAACAATAGCACAGAGCAAAAGAGCTTCCGAGATTAAAGGGGTTCTTCAAAGGTGCAGTGAGAAGAATGCAGAAGTTTCAAGAAGAGATGTTAAGTCATCATGGTGATTAGAAATACAATATCTGGAAGTTTTGAAGAGGAGATTGGATAAACATTTGTCGGAAACGGTATAGGGCAGAGGCGGCAAACCTTTTGTGGATCCTGTGCTGATAATTGCGTGCATGATCGTGTATGCGCCCTCATGTGCCAGCACCCAGAAGGCAATGTGTGCTGGGCCTCCACCCACTCACTGCGCCTGCATGCATGATTCCCCTTGCCATGCACCATGCACAGTGCAATCATCCCGCCACGTGCAGGGGTGGGATTCAAATTTTTAACAACCAGTTCTGAGGGTGTGGCTTAGGCAGTGGGCGTGGCTTGGTGGTCATGTGACTGGGTGGGTGTGGCTTGGTGGTCATGTTATTGGCTTGGTGTGTGGCCAACTCAACATCACTCACATCGAGGCATATCTCCTCGTCTGACCTCTCATGACTGTGGAGATGCTGCAACAGTCGTAAGTGTGAAAAAGGGTCATAAGTCACTTTTTTCAGTGCCATTGTAACTTTGAATGGTCACTCCACACAAGCAAAGTACCAGCAAAGGAGGGGAAAAAACCTCCAGAGAAGTTCCTGAGACAGGAAGTCTAGTCCTGCCAAGAATGTAATAAGGGTTAATGGAGAGGCAGTTTCTGTAAGCAACACCAGAATGTTTCCTTCCTGCCTTCCTTACAGGATTAGGCCAGTAATTTCTTCTAACAACCGGTTCTCCAAGCTGCTTAGAATGTTAACAACCGGTTCTAGCGAATAGGTGCGAACTGGTAGAATCCCACCCCTGGCCACGCACCATCCATCTGCTCATCCAGCTATGACCCCCCAGTGCTCACTGTGCATCTCTGCACATGCACGTGTGTTCTGATCCAACTGGGTTCCTAAAAAGCAAACACAGACAAAGGCAGCAGCCCCCACCTTTTAAGGTTTAATAACGAATTCTGTTCTGAAGGCTGCTTTCCACTAATTAGCTCCAACAAGAAAGAGCCTTGCCAAGTTGTTTGTCAAGGCTGCCAGAACATCCAGAAATAAGAACTAATTTACAAGATTCTCCAAACACGAACTAAGATGTCCACCAGTTGAGCTTCAGAGCTTCTTTGCTGTCTGCAAAGAACGCTTTTCCAAACCTGGCTTTTATCCTCTTGAGGGAGGGGCCATTACCTTGCAGCCTTACTTCCAAGTTGCCTGTGCTGCTGTAATTGTTCTTTCCTCTGAGCAATCCTTCGTGCACATGCACTTGGCACAGGCTCCTCGGGAACCTCCTCATTGCTGCTGCCAGCCCCACAATCTCTGAAGGTAGCAGTCCACTCCCTGATGGTCCTGGCCCCTTATCAGAGACATCACTCTCCTCAACCATCTGCACCTGCTGCCAGCTAACCACAACAGCATGTGTCTCCCATGCACCCCCTGCTTCCCCTGCATATGCACACCAAATACCCAACAATCAGCTATTGGGTGGCGGCAGTGGGGCTCTTCCACTGAGCTCTCGCATGCCAGGGAAAATGGCTCTGCATGCCACTTCTGGCACACATGGCATAGGTTCCCCATCATGGGTATAGGGTTTCCTGCCTAAGCAGAGGGTTGGATTAGAAGACCTCCAAGGTCCCTTCCAAATCTGTTTTTCTATTCTATCTGTACACACTCCAGATCTTTCTACTGACCAAAAAGTGCCTTTATTGTTTTTGCTGAGAAATGTAGATGTTATTGATCAAAACAGTGTCTGTATCTTGGCCAGAAAATTGATTAGTAGATTTAATGTCGTCAAGGCTCTCATGTCAGGCAACATTTAAGTGCTGATAAAAATTAATGAAATATCACCATGAACTTTGTAAATTTCAAGAAGTTTCATCTGCAGATGGCCAATGCTGGGTGAGCATGTTCCTCAGATATATGAACCTCAGAACAGAACTGTCAGAGCTGAAGAAGCTTCTTGGGTGAGAAACGAAACTTCTTCAAAAGAAAAAATGAGAAAGTGCAGTTGCCTCCTGAAAAATGTACCTTTGGGACAAGCATGACATGGAGGACTGAGAATCTCTACAGCTTTTTAGGTATACAATTTGGGATGAACACTCTTTAAAGGGTGTGGGAGAAGGAATGGATTTCCAGAGGAAAAAATTGCAGACTACTGGAATCATTTGCACCACTCAGGTGACCCTGAGGACATAGATATACCTCCAAGTGGCCTCAACGACCCTCTAAAAGGATGCAAATGACCAGCTGTCTGCAAGGAGTATAAATCCTTCCACTTCCCCAGCATTCAGTCAGAACTAAAGAAGCTTTTTGGATGAGAAGTGAAATGTCTTCAAAAGAAAAAACAAGAAAGTCCAGTTGCCTCCTGAAAAAGCACCTTTGGGACTCAGAACATAGATTCACAGATTTGAATACAAGGGCATCCACATTGTATTTCCACAGGCATGGAAATAACTGGTGAGAACTTCCAATCCAGAAAGGTGATAGTTACTCATCAGACACAGTTGGAAGGTAACTGATATAATTCGGAAGATAAAGAAAATAAAGATAAATCCTTATCGCAGAAAATCATGCTTGGCTGTCAAGGTTTACTGAACTCTGCTGCCTGCGTGCCTACTCCTTCTTCTTTGGCAATTTCAGACAGATTTTTCTTTCTGAAGAATTATGCAAGAAAATGCCAGGAAAACATGAGTGACCCTTTACCCCCATTCCCTTGGTACAATGATGCTGTTATAGAAAAGAACTGGCTTTCTTTTCTTTCTCTCTCTTTCTCTCTTCCTGTTTTCTGTCTCTCTTGTTTAGCAAAAGAAAGAAAGAAAGAAAGAAAGAAAGAAAGAAAGAAAGAAAGAAA